ATCAATTGATCATCTCGTTTGGTTTTGAGATGAACTTGGTTGATGATTGTATATACCATAAGTTCTGTGGGAGTAAGTATATATTTCTGGCTTTATATGTCGATGACATCTTGCTTACCAGTAACGATATAGGCTTACTGCACGACACCAAGAAATTTCTAGCTAAGTATTTTGAGATGAAAGATCTTGGTGACGCCTCTTTTATGTTAGGGATAGAAATACACCGAGATCGTTCTCGGGGTACTTTGGTTTTATCACAAAGGGCTATATCGAAAAGGTTCTCAAAAGGTATGGCATGCAAGACTGCAAACCAGAAGATACCCCTGTTGTTAAGGGAGACAAGTTTAGTCTCAAGCAATACCCAAAGAATGATTTTGAGGAAAAGGAAATACAGAAGATTCCTTACGCTTCGGCGGTAGAAAGTCTAATGTATGCCCAAGTGTGTACGTGTCCGGATATTGCGTACATTGTGGGTGTGCTTGGCAGATATTTGAGTAAGCCGGGATTAAACCATTGGAAAGCAGCCAAAAGGGTCTTGAGGCACTTACAGAAAACAAAGAATTACATGCTCATATATCGGAGGTCGGATCAGCTTGAGATCATTGAATATACCGACTCTGATTTTGCTGGATGCCAAGATACTATGAAATCTACTTCAGGCTATATTTTTCTGTTGGCTGGAGGAGCTATGTCTTGGAAGAGTGCTAAACAGTCTATTATAGCCTTTTCTACAATGGCAGCAGAATTTATAGCATGTTATGAGGCGTCCAACCATGGAGTATGGCTTCGAAATTTTGTCACGGGGCTGCGCATAGTGGATGGAATTGAAAGACCACTTAAGTTATTTTGTGACAATAAATCGGCTGTGCTGTACTCCAATAATAATAGGAGCTCTTCGAAGTCAAAACATATTGACATCAAGTTCCTAGTTGTTAAAGAACGAGTTCAAAGTGGACAGTTGTCTATTGAACATATCGGAACGAACTCCATGATTGCGGATCCGCTTACAAAGGGGTTGCCACCCAAAACATTTCATGAGCTTACAGCTCGTATGGGTGTAATGCCTTTGATGGATATTCAGTTTTAGTGGGAGTTTCTAATGTTCTTTGACATTGCCACATTTTATGTTACTTCAGTTTTATGGATATTTTGAGGTTATTTCTGCAGAATTTAAGTTTCGGTTATTTCACACTTTGATTATGGAATATAGTTTATCTCATTTAAGTTTAAGGTGGACCAAGTTGGAACAGACATGTGATGATCATATTTCTTGTAGTTTCCATGCTATACATCCACATCATAATCCATGTCATTCATTTGTATTAACATTGTGACCATTGATGGGTCGAGTTGCGATAAATGCAACAAAGGCCGCTTTGATCCTATGTTGATGTGATTGATGGACCGGATTGGTTAAAGATACTTTTGGTTATGACAACAAATTTGAGCTCATAAAGTTATTTTGCAATACATAATTATAAAGTTACACATATAGCCCAAGTGGGAGATTGTTGGATCCTTAATCCAACATTGGGCTGATATGTGAAATAATTATTGTATTGTGGTTGTCAAATAAAGAAGCCCAAATAAAAGTGATCAATTAAGTTTTGAAGTTATTGGGCTTTAAAGTATCAATAGGGTGTGGGCCTTTAATGTGTAGAAACTAATGGGTTTTCTATTTTCATGATAGGCTAAAATAGAGATGCCCAATGTAACTTAATGTACATAAAGGATTGTGGTCCCTAGGTCATACGTATCGACATCACAACTCTTCTGCATCCCATCGACAGAGAGGTTACAGAGAAAGTTAAAGGGTTCTCTGACAAGTACACGATCGTATAAGCCTAGAAGGCCAAATATCCAAATCAATTCACCTATGGATTCAGGTACGCTTCCGCTATTCAGTTTCGATTCTCAATTATTCAATTCGAAAGCTCCTGGATTAAAGCGATGATTTTCGCCTAAAGTTAATTCCAACATCCTAAATGCACTGTATAAGCAATCACACAACTGAGAGACTAGCTACTCACACAATGAAAAAAGTGAGGGAGGATTGATTTGGGCCTACCTGGTGTCGGCTACATAGCATTTTTTAATTGGACTAAACTTTAGCTAGTGGAAGTCCAATAATCCACCAATTTAAATTTTATACACCCCCGACATGTGTCTTTTCTTTTCTAAATGATAAATAATAATAAAAAAAACTAGCAAAACGATAAAACAAGCTACACAAGAATCAAGATTACACCAAATACGAGTGAGAGAGAGAAAGGCAGTCACACAAATGACACTAGCAATTCTTACATATCTTTTAACATGCCTCTTTTCAGTTTTCACTTTCAGAACTTACAAGTACAGCTAAGGGACTAGGGGCGAACTTCGACGGAGATAGAAAGTCTGGCGCAAGCAGATGGAAACTGGAAGTGGAGGCCGATGAATGGGAGTGGTGGCCGAGGGTTTCTGATTTCTGTTTGACAAAAAAAATCTGTCAAAGGCGCCGAGAAGCCCGCCTCAGCCGTCGAGAACCCACCTCAGCTGCCTAGTCCCGCCGAAACCGCGTAGCCGCCGTGACCGCCTAGCCCGCCCGACCGATTTTTCTGGCCGATTTTAGCAAATCGGTAGCGGTGCAAGACAATGATAATTAATGAGCTAAAATTGAATGGCATCATATATAATCCAAGATTCTAAAAATTTTGAAAATTTTCAATTCAAGCTGAAACCTTTTTTTTTTCAATTCAAGCTGAATTTGAAGCATATATTGGCAAAGAAGTCAAAAAAATAAAAAATAAAATAAAAAAAAATAAAAAAACGAAAATGAGCTATTAAAGGAGGTAATTGATGACATATCATGTATTTTTTATTTTAAATAATCAGACTCATTGCATATTATTCAAAGTGGACTATGAATTTTGGCAAAATATGGAAATCAAGGATATGAATCAAGAATGAGAGTCTTTAAATTATTTTATTATTTTTAATGATGATATTCCTTTATATTTATTATCTTAAACAACACAATAATATTCAGTTTTTTATAAAATCAATTTAAATTAAGAAATAATATTTTATATTTTTTATATAACTTGATTTATGTAATACTTAATTTCCATATTTTATCTGAAATCTATGAAAAACACATTAAAATTATTATTTGAAGTTGTATTTATGAATTATATTTTTATTTGATATATTTTAAATTGAATTAATAAATAAAATTAGTTTATATAAAATTATAGATAAAATTAGTTATTTATTAGTTTCTAAGCCTAATAGTCCAAACCAAACTTATATATGTGTCAATACGAAGCACGACCCTATACCAAATAAGTTTACAAAGCATACGAGCCAACTACGTAGGCTCAGCGCACACAAGAATGTACATATATATATAGAGAGAATAATTATTTACCAAAAATAGTAGCGAAAAAAAAAACGCCAACATTAATTGCAATCCATTAATCGTACATTTTATAGATTTTTTTATATGAAATTAATAAATATTCGAAAATTGGAAACTGTAAATTTAAATCATATAAATAAATACAACATGTATATTACATACATTCAAAATTTAAGTTTCTAAACTTAAAAGAAAAAAAGTTTTATCACCCTCGATCCCCTTTCTCTCTCGTTCCCAATAATCGCCCAAACCCTAGCCACTTAATCTCGCCGATTGGAACTCCCTCGCCGGAAATTTGGGTTCGCCGGTGGACGGCCTCCATCGCTCGTCCATGGAGGCGCACACCCTCGTCTCAATTGCTGCAGCTGGGACCTATTCTCTGCGTCGCCATCGGAGAAGATTTCCGTTCCCGTTTGCGCGCCGGAGCTCAGGTGTCGTCGGCGTTGGTTGGGGTGTGGAGCTGATTCATGGACGAGGCTGGGTTAGCTGCACTTGGCTCGGGTTGGGACGCCGCCTATTCTTCTCGTTCGCCTTTCTTGCCACCGGTCTGGACCTGCGCTTTTCCGCCGGCGAAGCGGCGATTGGCCAGGGCCACTTCCTGCTCGACATGTTGCTATGTCAATTGGAGGTTAGCCTTTGTTGCTGCTGCTTTGTCTCGGTTTTTATTTTATCCGTGATCGGGGGACCTTTCGGTTCTTCCTTGGCAAGTTGGAATTGGTGGTTTATGATTAGGGGTCGTGGTACTGCTGGGATTAGATGCCGTTTCTGGCTTGTGCTCGGCTGTTTAGTCGTTTCAACCTTTCCGGGCTGGGACGAAGGGTTTGCTGTTTTAGACGGACTGAATCGGTGAAGCCAAGCCGTGTAGGTTTCCTCACGTGATTGGAGTGCGGGTCAGCTCTTCGATTAGTTCAGGGGTACGGGTACCCGTCTTGCTAGGCTTTTCGCAGTGGCGGGCGGTTGTTTTCGTGCTCGGGAGCCGTCGTTGGGATTGATTTGTCTGCCGTCTATCTAGATTTATCTGGCGGGGGAGGCTGTATGTTTATGTTTATTTTTCTTTATTAGCTATTTGGTTGTGTTAGGTTGTGTTTCAGTTTTATTTTCTTTAGGATTGTGTTTTTGGTTTGGGCTATTTGGCCTCTGTGAACCCGAGTGTCACCTTATTATCCTATTGGGATCCGATACTCGGGTATTACTCCATTGGGGTCTTTCAGTTGTTGTTAGTTGTTTTAGTCGTTTTAGTTTGTTAGTTTTAGTTGCGAGTGTTTTATTCTAGCGTTGCTAGTCGGGACTCTAGGCGGTCTTCTGACCTGTCCTCCCAATTTTTCAGTTGTTGACTGTTGTATATTCAGTCGTTGACTGCTGTGTATTCGCACATTTGTGCATTTTGATTTATAATATAACCTATCGTTTCGGGAAAAAAAAAAAGAATTTGTACAATTTTTAAATTGATTTATTGCAATTTCTTTATACTTTTTGTTGATATCAAATCCAGTAATCAGAATTAAGGTACTAAAAATCGGAATATATTATAGCAAATTANTGCTTATCATCACTCAGTCGCTGCTTATAAATATCCATAAGTAAGATTTCATATTTTCCATTATACCTACAAAAAAAATAAAAAATAAAATAAAATAAAATAAAATAAAATGAACTACATAATGGATCAGCCATGGGTATTCAAAAAACAGGTCATCATAAATAATAATTTGTCCAACATATTTTATCTTTGCAAGCCATAATTGTTATCAGATAACCCAATAACTCATTTAATGGATTATATTTTGTTGATGATGCTTGAGTTCATAGACTAGCCGATTGGGACACAACTTTTTTAGTTCATATATGGAGTAATTTTGGCGTCGAAGATTGCAATGAAGCAAAACGTGGGAGAAATATATTAATATATAAAGAATCAATGATATTTATTTGAAATAGAAATTAAAAATCAGTAAAAAAATATTTGATTTCCTGCCTAAAGTATTTACTATATTGAGTAATAATTTTGGCCAAAAATTGAAAAATCCCACCTAAATTAATGTACAGAATCATATTTGTCAAATACTGCGGCTATTACTTTTATTGATTGCATAATTTAAATTTGGAATACAATATATTGACAAAACTTGCAGTTGTTACCTTTATTAGTTGCATGGTTTAAATTTTGTATATAATATATTGAATAAAAATAAAAAGATTTATATTTAAATTTAAAAATAAAAAATAATTATTCATCATAACTTACTTGTCAATATTAACTTGGACGTAAACGAAATAGTCAATTATTTTTAGTTTAATAAATTACTCAACTACTTAATTTTTTTTTATTTGAATAGTTTATACAATAATAAATTATTTCAAGTAATGAAACAATATAATTTTATATTTATACTTATTATTCACATAGGTTGTTAAATATATGATAACATTTTACCAAAATAACTATTTCATGGAATCACATATAGTCAAATCGATTTTCTGAATAAAAATTTTGAAGTGATACTTATTTTGAAACGAATATAATGTGATTTATTATCAGTTATGTTCACTATACGGGTTGTATACTAATTTTAAATAGACATTTTTATATAATTTTTGCATAATTTAAACTTTATATAACATTTTCAATAAATCAATATAGGTAAATTGTATTACATATTGATTCCATACTTTTAATTTATAAATATTATTTAATAAGAATTTTTAATTTACAAATATTAATGAATATCTCTACCCGTGCACTGCACGGGACTCATACTAGTAACAATATAAATCAAAATCACATACTTTGTAATTTAGTTATATTAAAACGGAAGCAAGTTTCATGAGTACAATGATGGAGATGCATATATATATATATATATATATATATATATATATATGTATATATAGGGATTGGATCCAATGAGTCCATATATTTAAAGTGTGTCCGTAAGATCCGATCTCAGCCTTTAATTTCTCGCTCGATCTGATGGTCAGTAGCAGCCTCTTAATTAATGATTTGGTTCGCGGTTTTATGTAGTCCCGTCATTTCAAAACGTTTGAGTTTTCAATGCTCTCTCTTCATCATTGTCTTTTTTCGTTTCTATATCTTTGGTTTTATGTTGTTCCTATATCTTTGGCACTCTCTCTCATCATTCTCTCAGTTTTCGACGCTATCTCAGTTTCCAAAGCTTGCAAATTCAATTGAAGTTTGCAGATTCAATTTTCGTCGGCGTCTTTTTTCGTTTCAATTTTTTAGGTTATTGTGGTTGTATATCTTCGGAATACTTGTATTTTTTTCGTTATTTGCTGATGTCGTTTGTTAAACCCTAATTTCTGCTATTTTAGTTTGACTATTGCATATATAGTATAGCAGGCATGCAACGACGTTGTTTTTTGTGCTAAATCTGTTGTGATCAACCCTATTTTATGCTATTTTAGTTGATGAATAATGTATAGATAGTATATTTTTTATGCATATTTAGTTGTTTTTTGTTCTAGATTTGTTGAGAACATTTCGTTGTTTCTCTTCTCTATATTAGAGCTTGTAGAATGCATAAATATTGTATGTCTTTTTGCATTTTTAGTTTTAGAATGCAGGGGAACCACTCTTTGTATTGTTGATATGTTAGTTAATAACGTATGCATATATAGTTTATTTTCCCTGCTTATTTAGTTATCAAATGATGATTGACATGTCCATATCTACCTATTGCTATATTAGTGCTCGTATGACGCATAGATAGTGAATATATCTTTGCATGTTTTAGATCTACAATGTTCTGATATAGTTGGTTGTTGTTGCATATTTAGTTTATATGAGTTGCATATTTAGTTTATATGTATTGCATATCTAGTTAATATCAGTTGCATATCTAGTTTATATGACATGTTATGATTTTGCATATCTAGTTCATATGAGTTGCATATGTAGTTGGTTATAATGCGCATTTATTTTCAATTAGTATATATCATATAATTTATTTCATTTTTGTGTTATTGTAAGTCAGATATTCTTGAAGTATGCCTCGTGGTAAGAGTAGCAAGCGTAAAAGGGCAGATGCTGATGATATTCTGTTGCTTACTGATGGCACAGAAGGTCAGTTGGATAGTAATAAATCATTCGGTCTTCTCCAAAGATTATTGTGGACTCTATGAAATCTTTTAACCAACAACAGCAAATAGCTGTTGAGCAAATGGGTTTTGGATGTCAGTTTGATCTGAAAATTAAGAATTTCCGACTCAGTTGTTGCACTGGTTGTTGTCGAACTTTGATCCTGTTAGTTGTCAGCTTGAATTTGGGAAAGGAAGAAGTATTCATGTCTCATCTTTGGACGTTCAGCGTGTTCTAGGCTTCCCCAATGGTGATAAGTCTATTGAGAAGAAAAACAAACTTTGATAATTTCTAGGCTTCCCCAATGGTGATAAGCCTATTGAGAAGTATTCATGTCTCATCTTTGGACGTTCAGCGTGTTCTAGGCTTCCCCAACTTCTGATGAAGTCCCTATCAAAGTGCCAATTTCTGAACCAGTTGTTGAAGTGCCAACTTTGATAATTTCTGATGTTCCTGTTGAATCAACAATTGCTGTGCAGCATGTTTGTGTTCATGAAGCAGCTCTTGGTAATGTTCAAGAAGAGATTGTTGAGATGGAGATTGAAAGAGAGAAATTGAAAGAGAAGGAGATTGCGATAGAGGAAGAGAAAGAGAAAGAGAAAGCGCTGGAGATAGATAAGGTGACAGATTGGGGGAAATGTTGTTTCTACTTATTCTATTTTGTATTTTTATGTACTTCAATTTTATTTTTAATCAATAAGTTATGTATTTGGTTGCAGTTTGTGGTAGCTGAGGATGAAAATTTGTTGAAGAAAGAGAAAAAGAAGAAGAAACAAAAAAAGAAAGTTCAGTTTGTTGAAGAAAAAAGAAAAAGGAAGAAGAAAGACATGTGAAGATGCTTAGGAGACTAAGAAAGTACTAAAGGTCAAAGAAAGTTCAGATTGTGACGGCCACGGATAAGGATACACATTTGGCTGATGTTCTAGAGCCAAGTGTTGTTTTCAATTGGATTGTTGAAGATGATGGGGAGACTAAGTAACTTTTCCTACTTATCTATATTAATTTTAATTTTTCATATCCTGCTTACAAGTACTTATAATTAATTATTATATTTTTCTTTTAGGTTTGATGTAATTTTTAAATTTGGTGATGCTATGATCATGAAAGAGCAGCTTGAAACCTTGAAAGTTGATGGGTATCTTACGGTTGGTGTTCTTGATATATGGTCAACAATTCTGAATGCTAAAGAAAAATTTAGGGAATCTGGCTGTCCTCTAAGATTTTTTTCATCTACCTATATCAGTGTAGGTTTATTTTTTATTTTTGCCAACTCTTTTTAATATACTAGTTGTTGGCAGATGTGTAAGTTTATCCATTTTATATTGATGTTATTTCAGTTCTTGATATATGCATAGATAATGTATTTTAGATGCATAATTAACTGTTCATTCTTGCATAATTTGTCCATATCAATATGTTGTTTGTTCTTGCTATATTTGTTCTTAAATGATGCAAAGATAGTTTTCTTTAAATGCATACTTAGTTGTCAACTTATGCAGATTGTCTGAAGAACAATATGTTGTTTGTTTCTTGTAACATGTATAGCTAGTATACTTCTGATGCAGATTTAGTTGACAATTGTTGCATATGATTTGCAGAACAATTTGTTTTTTTTTTTTTGTTATTGCTATATTAGTACTTGACAGTTGCGCAGATAGTTTATATGTTTTGCATATTTATTTATATTTTGTTGCTCACTAGATATTTGTAGTCAATTTTTATTATAAAGTGTATTTATATATTCTTATTGTTTTCAGCTATACACCATGTCCATAGATGATGAAAAATGGGAGTTGAAGAATAAGCTCAAGCTGTTTGAAGATACTTTTGATGCTGAATTCAGTGGTTCTGATGCTCATCCACATCTAGAAGATGTTGATATGGTAATTTTTATTTTTTATTATGAAACCAATTTTTTTAATCTACTTAATCTCATGGTAATAATATAATTTTTCTTTCCCATCTACAAGAGTGAGCACTTTTTTGTCCTGTGCTTTGATATGAAGAGAAATCAGTATCACATCTTGGATAATTCGTCAGTTGGAGGATCTACTATTGCCAAATATGAGAGTTGCCCTTCAAATTTGGTGATTATCTTTCATGTTTTTATAATATCATTCATGTTTTTTGTCATCATCTTTTATGTTATATGTTTAACACCTGTTTTATGTTCTTTTCAGAAAAAGTTATTTAGTGAATACTTGAAATCCAAGAAATGTGGTGAACTGGCAGAGGCTGTAAAAAAAATGAAGACTGTGAGAGTTGATTTGCCTTGGAGAGATGAAAAGAACAAGGTTGATTGTGGCATCTTTGCTATGTGTCATATGGAGACTTACATGGGAGGTGGTGTAAGAGGGTGGGATTGTGGGTTGATGAAGGACAATCCTCAACAAATGAAGGAAATGCGCACTCGATATTGTGCTGCCATTGTTCTCAACGAAATTAATGAATTGAAGAATGAAAATGAAAAGAAGGCACGTGCGTTTCTTGCGAATGCAAGCCTACGACCA